AGCTGGTTCGCCGCTGGGTTCTTTGAAACCCAGGCTTGGGTTCCATGGAACCCAACCCTAGGTTCCATCAAACCCAGGCGTGGGTTCAACGGAACCTAGGCGTGGGTTCTTCGAACCCAGCATGCCTGGGTTCCTCGAACATAGGGGGTAAAAAATATCTATGGGTTTGGTGTTTGATGATGATGTGTTTGATGATGATGAAGAAAGCAAGGTCTGGAACCCAACGGCGAACCAGTTAGGTTCCATCGAACCTAGGCATGGGTTCAACGGAACCCAAGGGGTAAAAAATATATATTTTTTCTGTGGGTTTGGTGTTTGATGATGATGTGTTTGATGATGATGAAGAAAGCAAGGCAAGGAAGAGGAAGGAAAAAAAAAAGGGTGTTGTTGGGTTCGATTCAACCCAGGTGCTGGGTTTGTTTGCTGGAGGAAGAAGATGATGGCAAATTCGTAATTTTGGTGGGCCCCACTTTTGTTGGGTTAGGCAAGAACATGACATGTCACGTTGCCATGTCATTATTTATTCATTTATACAACTGATGTGTCTCAAATGTTTGACATGTGATTAAATTGTCGTAAGATAACGGTGATATTTTAATGGAATGACCAAATCAAGGTAAAAATGGTAAACAGTAGGGACCAAATCAGGGATTTTTTTAGTTAAGGGACCAAATTGAGGGTCCGTACAATAGTTCAGGGACCAAAAAAGGGTTTTAACCTTCTTAATAAGGTTTAGATCATTTCACACTTACTCCGTTACTCTGTTAATTAGTCCCCCAACATTAAACAACATTAAACAACCAACATTTCTTTTTTTTTTTTTGGTAAATCACATTTAACCAACATTATTGCACAAATACTTTTATAGTCCTTCAGGGAGGGACATCAAGACTACTACTTCTTCTTTTTCTTCTTCTTCTTCTTTTTTTTAAATCTTAGTTGTACAAAAAAGGATAACTCCCTTTAACCCTTAACTTATTTTGTTTGTCATATAACTCAAATTTAATTTAAAATTTTTTATTTCTACTAAATAAATCATTATTGAATCATGTAGTAAGTCGTGTAAGGGATGTCAAGGTTTAGACTCTCTCCGTTAAAACTCTCAAATCCAAATTTGGAGATGTATCTTTCAAGAGAACAATATTCATCACTCTATATAAGTATATAGTTGTGAGTAAGGATCACTTACAATAGTGTAAGAATAAGGAATTTTTACACCGATTCATAATTTTTAGTAAAATAAATATTTTTAAAAATTAATTATTAAATTTATTATTTTATTCATATAGGTCATGCATGTTAAATTTTAAATTGATCTAAATACTTATAACTACTAGATTAAAGAAATTGTATTGTCTAACATAGATTTAGCAGTATAAAACTTTGTAGATATCAATAAAATAGTTAAATATATTCAATTTATCTAAAATTTAGCATGCATGATCTACATAAACATAACAATCAATCAAATAAACTTTTTTCTGTCTTCAATCTAAACATTGATTTTTTAAAGGACAATGATTAGCACACCATTTAATTTAATTTTAATTTAATACATTTTACAACACATTTATTAAGAAATTATCATTTTCAAATTTGAATTCAAATTAAGTGGGAAAATTTTTATTTGAAAATTTTAATAACTAAACTAGTGGGTATTAGCAGGTGTGTTAAATCGAAAGGTATATCAATCATTACTCTTTTTCAAAATATTAATTATACAAAATTATAGAGTGATGTGAAAATTTTTATTTCCTATACTAGTGTTAGGTTCTTTTTTTTTTTTTTGGTACCTCACATGATAAATTATATAATAAGGGATTGTCCTCCCCTTCCCTTAATACCTCTTCACCTATTTCAAGGTTTAAATTTAAGATCTCCAACTTAAAATCTCAACTCTTAACCATAAGGATGGAGCTAGAAAATAATCTTGGGGGAGTGAAGTGCTAGTTGAAATATATATGTTAAAATTGAATTTCTTGACTTGTAATTTATAACTAAGATTAAGATTTAAACATATAAAAATTAAAATTTTCAAGACCTTAAATGTAGAAAAAGTTGTTAAAATTTGTGTACTTAAATTTCAATATGAAACACAACTTCTATCACAAAATATTACTTAATATTATCCAAATAGTAAAACTAAATGTTCTAAAGAATTGATAATACTAATTTTAAGTCAATTTTATTTTGTTGCTTGATACAAATAATCATTAACTATACATGTATTGCAATGACAAACATGTCAAATAAATAAAAATATTTTATGAAATTTATTTTACTTGTCAAATTGTTAGTAATTCATCATAAGATCTATAAAAGAATAAAAGTTAAAACACACCATTTTTTTTAGAAGGGTTTATTTGATTTTTTTTTTTTAAGTATAGAGACTATTTAATTTTTTTTCAAAAGTCTAGGGAGGGCGAGCGCCCCCCCATGCACCCCTCTAGCTCTAACCCTGCTTAGCCAATTAAGACACCCCTTAAAACTTAAAACTGTGTAAGTTGATTCATACTCTTTAGTTATTTATTAATAAAAAGAAGGTTAAACCCCCAATTTGGTACCTCAACTATTGTATTGACCCCGATTTGGTCCCTAAACTAAAAAAATCCTTAATTTGGTCCTTCAAGTTTTTAAATTTGGCTCCAAATTGGTCCTTCCGCACAAAAACAACTAATATATCTCGTTATTAATGTGACACATAGCTGCTAAGTAACATTTTCTACCATTAAATAATGTACACATTAGCTATTTTTTAACAAAAGGACAAATTTGAAGCCAAATTTGAAAACTTTAAGGACCAAATTAAGGAATTTTTTAGTTCAAGGACCAAGTTGGGGGTCTATACAATAGTTGAGGGACCAAATTGAGGGTTTAACCTAAAAAGAAGAAATTAAAAAGATCCATGTTCATTTAAGACGGTGTGCATTCTTCATATGAAATAAAGATGTTACATTCAAGACATATATATGAACCATATGATTACATAAAGGAAAATTATTGGTACACCCTTTAATTTAACAAATCTATCAACACTGACTATTTCAGCCATTAAAATATGTACTTAAAAGTTTTACTGCCTTAAATTCAAATTTAAAAATAATAATTTCTTAATGAGTATGTTGTAAAAATGTGTTGAACCAAAGAATATATCAATTATTATCCTTATATAAACTAAATAGAAAATGATTGGTATACACCAATTTCAACACACTTTTTAACACCTGTTTAGTTTAGCCACTAAAAGAATAATATAAGTAGAGTCTATTTAACCAATTCCTGCATCCTACGTGTGTGCCTATATTTTTAAGTTTGTTTGCCTTTAATTTCATATCAGAAAATAATAATTTTTTTATGAATATGTTATGCAACGTGTTAAATCAAGGTGTATACCAATCAGTGTCCAAATTAAATAGACAAAATTTGAAATCCCTTATAAGAGAACTACTAAATATAAGGAGTATACTTATACATTGAAGACTATATTTATGGGATTGTAAAAAATCAACATGTATGACAATTAAAATATTAAGAATGATACCAGTATTCTCTCCATTTTAAAATATAAGTTATTTTTTTAATGTAATTTTAGGTTAGGTAATACGTTTTCATAGTATATAAATAATAATTAAAATTTTTTTGATTGAATGAAACTATTCAACAAGATTTTTTTTTTTTTTTTGAACAAGTTGTCAAGGAGCGGGCTCAAAACCCACCCATAAGGGAGAGGAATGCACCTCAAGCTGGCAAGGTACCAGTTGGAGCAAAGGGTCAGGTGCACAAGAATTACATATATGGAAAAAAGAAAATCTCAATTATCATTTTCCTTATCATTTGTATACTATAAAAAAGTACCACCTAAAATTACATTAAAAAGAAAAAAGTCAAACGAACTTATATATATCTTAAAACAAAGTAGTAGTGAAAAGACTTAAATATCTTTTCTTTAGTGAATGAACATGTAAAAAAGATTCATGAAGGGTGTTTGAAAATTTTTACTAGTGAATATATTAATATTTTAAATGTCAATCAGAGGTCTAATTAATTTTCACTTCTTTATATTTAAAGAGTTTTTTATTTTATACTTTATACTAAATTAAACTGCAAAATAGAGATATTAGATAAAATAAAAATCCTAAATATTATAGGGCACACTCTCAACTAATAATAAAGATCATATAGTTGAGTATAATATTTTTCTATGCGTGAATTACTTGATTATATTTAAAGTTGTAGTTTTTTTACCTTAAGAGTTTAAAGTACAATGTTACATTTATTTTATATTTTTCTAATTAATTTGTGTGTGTATATATATATATATATATATGCATACGCATTTGCTTGTACTCATTCAGTTAGTTGCGGGTAGAAGTGAATTGGGCAGTTAATTCAAGAGGGAGGGAAGAAGAGTAGTATGTTGATGAGGACAACTCTCAATTTTTTCAGAACAAAAAGATTAAAAACACAAACCGTAGAAATTCCGATTGGATCAACCTCTCTGTCGCTCTAATTTTCCTCTTAAAAGGCTGAGGCACCGCTTAGTAACACCACTCAGGATAGAACGTATGGCTTGCTACACAAAATCCGGAGTCATTCCCTCACAAATAAGTTTCTTTCATTTAATTTCAATTATTTTCCTCTCTCTAAAACTGCCTCTCCCCTCTTTTAAAGCATAAACTCCCAAAAACTTAATTTGAACTTATCTCCACAAAAGGTTAAACCTTTGAAACTTCCAGCTGGAACAACCCAGAGACACACACTCGGGAAGAATCTACTTTTTCACTCTTTAACCGTGTGCCTTCCAAAACCGCCACTCTCATCCGCTTCCTCCGCCTGCTTCCACCACCACCTAATCCGACCTCTCCATCCACTGCTGATAATTCCGTGTTCTGATTTTCAGATATTGTAATTTTTCTCCTGCATAGTATTGTTTCGGATGACTATATATATATAGTATTTAAATAATAGAGTATATATATAAGAGAGTGGTCGCTTTCTTTGATGGTCAGTTTAGGATAATTGTTTATGTTATCTTAAATCTGAGTTGTGTTTTGGTTTCTTGATATAGCCTCAGATGCGTTTTTCCTTGCTTCTGTACGTAGTGTTTTTGATACCCACAAGCGGGTCCTTTTCCTTTTGCCACTAGCTTCCTTAATTGCATACAGAGTCCTCCCTTTCGCTTATCCGTACACAGTAAACCATATATCCTTCTCTTTCAATATCTGTATTTATCTGCAGTCCCCATACAGCCCCAACTTTCATTTTTCTTTTTCTTTGAAAATATAAAGAAAACATATGAAATGAAGGGTTTAGAACAACTGCACGTCGAAGATGGAGAAAACCCTACTGGGTTTGATGCGGTTGATCGTCTGGAGGAAGTTATGGGCAAGGAAGATAGGGAGATCTGGCTGGAGAGACAGCAAAATCACCTGCTTGATATAAACGATGATGCGTCGTTTTTCTACAGTCAGTTTCCTCCTCTTCCGGATTTCCCTTGCATGTCATCTACTTCATCTTCTTCGTCCACTCCGGCACCTGTTAAAGAGATTGCATGCTCTTCCTCTGCTTCCACGGCGTCGTCGTCTTCTTCTGCAGCTTCTTGGGCCGTTTTAAGGTCGGATGCAGATGAGGATGTTGAGAAAAGGAAAATTAATGATCATCATGATGAGCAACAGTATACGGCGGATGCATCCACGGTTGCTTTGTCTTCCACCGCCTCAATGGAGATGCCTCAGCAGCCGTTGGATGATGGCTTTGATGTGGTTGATTGTATGGATGTTATGGAGAATTTTGGGTACATGGATCTGCTTGATAATAACGATTTCTTTGATCCTTCTAGTATACTCCATCCCGACCAAAGCCCCGTTGAGGAGATTCAACAGAAGGAGAAGCAACCGCGACAAGTGTTGGATCAAGAAGAGCAAATGATTATATTACAGGGGAATAACAACAACAATGAGAACGGACAAGACGGAGCTACAGAAGATCTAGCCATGGTGTTTTTGGAGTGGCTGAAGACGAACAAGGAGACTGTTTCTGCGGAGGACTTGAGGAGAGTTAAGATCAAGAAAGCCACCATAGAATGTGCTGCCCGGCGGTTGGGTGGTGGAAAAGAAGCAATGAAACAACTGTTGAAACTGATTCTGGAGTGGGTTCAGACAAATCACCTTCAGAAGAGAAGAATAAAATATTCACCTTCCCTGAATAACAATAACGTTCCCTATCAATACCAACCAGACCCATTTCAAAACCCTAACCCTACTCCGAACCCATATGAAACACCACCTGAGACAAACCCGTGTTTCTCTCACAGCCCCTGGATTGCACAACCAGCAACGTATGTTCCTGATCCAGCAGCGGTTGGTCCGGGATTTGCGCCAGTAGTTGGGTATATGGATCCTTTCTCCAGTGCAGGTTCTAATATCAATGCTGCCCTTCAGCCTCCTTACCAGCCTCAAACAGAGTATCACATGCTGGACTCTTCCCAAACATGGCCTCCTTCACCATTTGCTCTAGCTTCTCAATACAATACAATTCCAGATAACAACCTCCAGTCGCCACCTCCTCCTCAGCCTGTTTTCACCGGGTATGCAAATCGTTACCCGTACCCATACATCCCAGGGCACAACGACCCAGGGTTAGCACGGTTAGGTTCTTCAGCCACACGAGAGGCGAGGAAGAAGAGGATGGCCAGGCAGAGGAGGTTCTCAACGCACCACAGAAACCATAGCCACCATCATAATCATCAGAGCCAGAATCAAAATCAGAGCGCGGATCAACACGCAAGACTTGGAAGTGATAATTGCACAGCTGCAGCTCAAGTGAACACTGCCGGAAACTGGGTTTATTGGCCTCCTGTTGCTGGTGCAGTAGGATCTGCCCCTCCTGGTGATGCACCCGTTGGACATCCAGTAGACCGCACAGCAATGCAAGGGCAGAACTACCACCGGCAATCTGCATCAGATAAACGACAGGTGGGAGTTGGTTAATTAAACGTTTAGCCTTTCAGTTGAGATTCTCAGATACCTTCTATGATTTCGTAATTATAGGTTCATAATTTTGGAGATGTAACTTTCATCATGTTAATTTGCTTTCTGGGTTGGCTTTGTTTGTTTAGGGATGGAAATCTGAGAAGAATTTACGGTTTCTTTTGCAAAAAGTGTTGAAGCAGAGTGATGTGGGAAACCTTGGGAGAATTGTGTTGCCAAAAGTATGCCTTTCTCTCTCTTCTTTTTTTTTTTTTTGCCAGAAGTATACCCTTCTTCTCTTCTTCTACCTTTTTTCTGAGTTCTATTTCATAATTTCAATATTCTCGTTTTAAAATATTTTATGAACTCAAATGGTAGAAAGAAGCAGAAACTCATCTGCCGGAGCTGGAAGCGAAAGATGGAATCCCCCTTGCCATGGAAGACATTGGAACATCTCGAGTTTGGAACATGCGTTATAGGTAAATATTCCAAAACCTGATAATGGCAACTCTAAATATGTTCTTTTGTTTTCCTAAAGACCGAACTTCATTTCTAAATCACTTTCTTTTTCGCTTTGCTTCTGTTCTCTCTTCTCTTTATGGAGTTTCAGATTCTGGCCAAACAACAAAAGCAAGATGTATCTCCTTGAAAACACAGGTAAGTATACATTTGAGCTTTGATCATCTCTTCTTTTTGGGAGTTAGGTAGAACCAGTTTACGTGTAACAAATTAAGTCTACCTTTTGCGGACTCACGATATATATGATATATGTTTATATTAAATTTTCAGGGGATTTCATAAGAACTAATGGACTTCAAGAAGGAGATTTCATAGTTATATACTCCGACGTGAGATGCGGAAAATATGTATGTAACCAAACCATCTTATAGGCTATTTGGATTATAGGCCTTTTTTATTTTTTTTACAATTAATAGTTGGTAATTATTAATATTTATAATTTAAAATATCTAATTCATTTTAGCTATTTGTAATAGATTAAAACGAACACCCCTTTAATATTTTCTTTTATTTCAATTTAATGATTGAAAATAAAATATTGGATATATAATCGGTGTCGCAGTTGATAAGAGGAGTGAAAGTGCGGCAACCGGAGACCGGCGGAGGAGCGAAATCAGAGAGCAAGAGGCCGGAAAAGATGCAGAAAAACCAGCATGCAAGCTCTCCATCTTCTGTTGTCGTCAATGGGTCGTCATCTTAAACAATAAAGTAAGAAGAAATTAATTAAGAGCCACACGCTGAACCTTTGCCCTCTTGCCACCTTTCGTGCATGCATGAAGATGAATCGACAAGTGTACAGTGGAGATGCATGGGAGATGTTAATTACCCAAAACTTTTTTCATGTTTTCTGGCTCAGTAAAATTAAAATATAGCGTAGGGTTCTTGCGTATGTGCAGTATTGATGATTTGGGATACGACAAAATACGTACGTGTAACGTGTATGTGTTTAAAGTGTGAGATATACGTACAATATTATTTTTATTATATGGCTTTTTCATTAAATGCCTTCATTGCCCCCCATACAAGTACCCTCTACAGTTTTTTAACTGTACATTTGGAGTATGGATGGAACGTTATGTATTTTCTTATTTTCTATTTTTTGTGCGGTTTGGAGATCTTTTCAGTTTTCTTGTTTTTTATCCGGTTAAAGATGGAAAAAAATATAAAGTTTATAAAGAACTAATTAATTACCTTCCCACTAGACTTATACATCCATGAATCTAACTCAAATCAACAAAAATTGAGGGCAAATTCCCACTTGCGCGCCAATAATGTTTGGTTTGAGAGCAAAACAAGATGGAAATATAAAAGTTTTTGTCTATCAAATTAAAGTTTATTGGAGTGTTGTTATTTGTCAAGTAGGTATTTCGGTATTTTATTATTATAAAAATATATAAAAGATTAATAAAAATTAGTAAAAATATATAAAATAATAATTAAAATTAATTAAAAATAATAATTTTATATTTTTGGATAATGTGTTGTATGAAAAATATCTATGTAAAGTATTGTTAAATGAAGCTTAAGAAGACATGAAACTAAAATCAGCTTAATTATTTAATTAGATAGAGATTTTCTTTCTTCATTTTTCTCAAACTAAATATACCTTAAAAAAGGTGAAAAATGTTTCAAAACCTAGGTTGTGCCATTTTTTATTATTTAGGTTGAAGTTTGGATCTAACCTATGAATACTATAAATATGAAACGGCAGTTGCTTAGCAAATTTTACTGTGTTGATTTGCAATAATTTGGTTGGTATCTTTCCGGTTAGAATTAAAGTTAAATGTTAATTTTCATCCTCAACTTTAGGATTTTATATAATTTGTGTCTTTCAATATTTTTATACACTTTTTTAGTTTTTCAACTATGAAAATGTACATTTTTAATCCTTTCATTAATTAGTTTGTTAAGTCTATTCTTATATGCATATTATTAGTCTCTTAACTTTAGGATTTTATATAATTTTCATTCCTAAATTAAAAGTTCAAGGATTAAAAATGTATATACATAACTAAATTTAATAGATTAACAGACTAAAAGATTAAAAAATATATATTTTTTAGAGTTAAAGGGGCCAAAAAAGTTTATTAAAAATTAAAAGATAAAAACCATATAAAATCTTAAATTAAGGTATCAAAATTGATATTTAACCTTGTGGATGTCCAAAAATAAGTGTACGCATTCCGCATTGTGGCCGGCCCATTTCAGCCCCTCCTACCAATTATTTTTAGGTTGGGCCAATCTGGATTCAAGTGGGCCCTTGCCTCCCGTTCTTGTGAGGTTGAGAACTAGCCTTGGGATTCTTGTAGACATCGACACAAAATTCTGATCCTGCAGCTGAAGTTTGAAACTTTGATGATCGAGGATCATTTAACAGGATCAAGTTTTTAAATTTCTTGAATTATTCACTACAGGATTCGTGATTCTATTGATTAAACATAGATTAGATGGCGTCTTTAACTGTTTTTCGTAACTTGTGCTTTATATCATCATGCTCCCCACTCTGTTTCAGAAAAAATAGAACCCTAGCTCTCACTCCATCTCCTTTCCACACTTCCACTACTTTTCTAAGGTTAAAGAAACAAACCCATTTCTCAAACATCAATTTCAGCAAACCCATATGCCCAAAACGCAGCTCCACACTTGTTTACGCGGCACAGTCCAACTTCTTGAAAGGTTTGCTTTGCTCTGCCTTCTCCCTTTAGTTTTCAAGGTAGTTGGTTTCTTCATCTATTTGGTTTGTTGGTTGTTTAAATGTTTTGTTTGGTGTTCAATTAGAAACTGGGATAGTTTAGGAATCTGGATTCTGCATTCGAAAAATCCCCTTGTCTGATAAGCCTAGTTTACTGGCTGTTAAACATATATGGAATGGTGATTTATACATTTGATGTTACCAAGAGTACTACATTAAATTTTCATTCTTTCACTAAAGGTCTAAAACTTGTAATTATTTTGATGTTATCTATGTATAATTATTGAAAGAAACTATTGGGTTAGTGTTGTTTGATCATATTGTGAACTATGAAGCAATGATCCAGACTTGTTAATCTATGAGTTTCGGATTTTACCTAAAAAGGGAGGAAAAGTGCAAGTATCTTTATGTGGCATCTCTTAGAAGTGTCGGTAGAAGTGTTGGTAGAATACAATTGAATATAACTGGTTGAGCATCTCGTACAGTTCTGTCCTTTGGTTTAGATAATTGTTGTAGCCTTAACAAAAGTGTAGGTGTTACTGGTGTATATTCATCAGCAGAGATATTATTATCACCGTGGCTTTCTTTTCATTGATTTGAGACCATTTTTCGTTCACCATTGCTTGACTGGTTTTATAGAGATTAAAGTTTTATAAAAAGCAAGCAAAATTATACCCTGGGTATGCCTGGTGATAAGATATACATACTATTTTATTGCTTAATAGATTGGGTTACACTTTCCTTATCCTATAAAAAAGCATGCAAAATTTATCAGGGTGTTATATTCTGACTTCAAACTGCACAATGAAGATTTTACCCACCCTTGCTTCTCAAGTCTCAAGGGATACATCTGCTTGACCATCACAATGCTGGCTGAATCATCCCTTCACAAATGCTCAAGTTAACACTGGAAGCCAGTTGTTATCTTCAGACAATTTTTGTTTGCACCAGTGCATGTAGTTGCAGGAAGGGCAAAAATAAAAAAAATGCATGTAGTTTCAGATTACATTTACCACACAAGAAGATGTGTTTATTTCTTCTAGAAATCTGTAACTCCAGGAGTAACAGTTGACATGTCATTCCTTAGTCAAAAGACTATTGAATTAACTTATTATTTTCCCATGCTCATTTTGTCTAACAACTCCCTGTAATCCTATTATAGCTCTTCAAACAGTTTGGAAAGTTGGGAAGGATGGAATTGAGGCTGGAACGGATCTGGTTCCGGTAAGTTCATCTTGCCTGCTCTGCAACTCTGGTATTTCAAATTTAAAACACAGCAATATTATGTTTGTTTATGTTCTTATTTCCAGGACTTTGTACCTAGACCCATGGCAAGGATTTCTGTCACAGTAGTTGCAGTGAGTGTTGCCCTGTTTGTACTCAAGTCATTCCTATCAACAGCTTTCTTTGTGTTGGTATGTGATCTTTCTTTGCTCTCCACTAGTAAAGATATAGTGTTGATGATCAATATACTGCTTCTGCATATAAAGCCAAACTATGATAGCATGAGTGCAAAATGAATCTATCACTGCTGGGTTATCATACCAAATACTAACACCATTGGACACTGAGTTTTGTTCTACATTTTAGTAATCTTCATGTCCTGTATCTATTCAAGATATCTGTGCTAAAAGCGTAAAATATGAGCAGGAAGTGCAAGAATGGAATTTCTTTGGTTATTGGTCCTAATCACCTGGCTAAATTGTTGCCTTTTGATTTACTTAAATTCTGGATGTTTGAATAACAATCAAACGTATTGGACTTGTATTCAAAAGGCTTATTGCATTAGATGAAACTAATCACATATGATGTGAAGCCCTTCAACGTGTGAATCTGGACTTAATATATAAGAGCTCTAAAAAGTAAAAACATTCATACATCCATCTTTTTATGCATCTGGCACATGTGATGCATTTCTTTCCAAGCGCTGTAGGAATATTAGAGCTGACAGTTCCATATTATTCAAAGCAAGTAGATTCTCTTATCCTTACCAGGAAAAAGAATATGAGTCAGTATTGGGCTGGTGAAATGCAATATGTAATTAGCTAGTTTGTTGTTGCTTATTGATTCACATAACTGTAGGATAACATTATAGAAATCAAGGGAATGACCAAGGTCAAGAGAGGGAACATAAGACTTAGAACTCAGTTTCTTGGCTCTCAGCCTGTTGTGGTAGTTACCTTTCACCATGAAAAGCGAAGGAGTTAAGCCAGTCTATACTTGAATTGTGTTTCTAGTGTCATTGGAAAGTTTAAATTGGACTCTCTGTGCCAAGCAACCTAGTTATTGATGTCAGCAATTGGGCAACATCTAGGCTTCCAGTTATGCAATTCATATCAGCATTATCACATGTGCCAATATCTTCCATTCATTTTTTTTGCATTTGGTTGAATTATGCTTTTTGCTTTGTGCATGTATCAAGAATTTTCTTTTGTCATCTTTCTTTTTAGTTTATCTGTGGGAAATGTACCGTTGCAAATAAAGCCTCCGATCTGTAGACATGCTCTCTTTAGATTTGATATTCTTCTTTAATTAAAATATAGTAAGTCACTATGCAATTTTACACATGCCACTGGCTTGTTCTTTTGCGGGGAATCTTAAGTGATTTTCTATTCTAATCAAAAACTGTGTTACACATTTTCCTCTTGATGAACAGGCCATGATGGGACTTATATATTTCACGTTCATCGCCTTAAACAAGGATCAAGGGTCAAAAGGAGGTCGAGGCAGTAACTCTGCAGAAGGCCCTCTAGATGACCCCGTGGAAGAAGCAAGAAGAATAATGGAGAAGTACAAGAGACAATGACCAGGGGAGGGAGATTTCTCAATAATCAAATTTCAGGTGATGATGTCCCACCTAAACGTGTGAGTATTTTGATCTTGATTTGGTCTATGTTGCAAGTCCAGAAGTCCTACCGGTTTGATACATAGATTTCAGGTAGGGTGCAGCTGCCTCATAACCAGGTGATGAGGTGAATGAGGTGCAGGCCTGGCAAAATTCCCTGCACTTTGTTGAAATAGTTTTTCCTTTCCTCCGATGCCCTCATTTCTTTCAAACGAAACAAACTTCATAGAGAATTCATCCTCCATCCCAGTGTAATGAATCTCGCACCTAAATAATAGCTTAATTGATAAAATCCATGTGATTCGTGCTATCTTTTATATGAGCTCGATTTTCTCGTCTTCCATATAAAAACAAGTAAAAATAAATTTAATGACTCATTCTCATGTACAATCCTAGTAAGGCTAACAAAACTTAATGTGCAGCTTATAGAGACAATTTGACATTCTTTTTTGATACTAGTGTGTTCTGTGAAAACTCATTGAGAGAGTACTGGGGTGTGCCCCAGATTTTTCTGTACAAACCTTATTTGGATTTTGTTGATAAACTCTAGCCATTTTCTCAAAAAAAAAAAAAAGATATTGCTTGAGGTATGTCATTGAGAGCAATTTTGTATCAAAAATAATGTTAATAAAAATTAAAAATTCATATTATTTCATTCTAAACGCTCTATGTGAGGCATGGGCATTATTTAGTGTTTTTATTAAGGGCTTTTTTAAATTGCACTTTTTAAGTACAAATTAAGGTTTTTTTTATTATAAATATATATAAATATAAATATAAACATTAATTTTAACCTTATTACTAGCTGAATAAATTAATTAAACAATTAATAAGTTAAAAATTAATTTTTTAATATAAATTTATAACAATAAATTATATTTATTATGCACTTATGAAATGAAAATACACTTCTTATTAAAAGGAGATTCAAATGGCTTTATTCATACATTTAATGGAGTTCTAGCTAACTCCAAATCTGCCGCATGCCTAAAATCTTGTATATTTAGCAAGATAATCCACGTAGAATTTCGTTTTCGTGTTTTTTTAATCTGCCATATAATAGATTACATAAAATAAAATAGTTTCTTTTTTCTAAACTTTTCTTTATTTATCTCAATATTTAAATTTTAAATTTTTAACGTAAAAATTCAAATTTTCGATATAAAAATTTAAATTTTTAAAAATTTATCTAACTTATATTATAAGAACACAAGATAAAAATATAATAAATATATTTTTTTAATTAATTCATATTAAAAATTATAAAGTTTACATATATTTTAATATAGTTGACATGTAAGTAATTTTAATTGATTAATTAAGTCAATTAGAGCCAATATTTTTATTTTTATTAAAAATTAATAATGAAAAAATACATTTATTGAGGATAAAAAAATCCAATTTTTAATTATTGTGACGTACATGGAAGTATTCCCACTCAAATATTGTTATCTTTTAATTATAAAAAGGCTTAATGCCATTAGAAATCATCCAACTTTACAAAGAGAGTCATTGTCATCCTTCTACTTTAACACAATTCATAATGATCCCCCATTAGGGAAGCAGCCAACCGTATTTCCTCCATCGACGGATGTTATAACACCGTCAATTCATCCGTTAAAATCCTCAAAATTTTAATGGTAAAATGACATTGGTTGCCCCCTTAACGTCAGTTCTTGTGCACTTTGATAGTCAAAATTCAATATTATTCAATTTAATCCCTAATTGTAACTTTTTTATTACAATTTAGTTTCCAAACTTTTGAAAGAGATGCACTTAAATCTCAAAATTTATAATTTCATGTATTTCTGTCCTTTTTTCACAAACAATAAAAATTATGTAACTTTCAATAAAATCACATTTAAGTATTCAACTCATTCAAATATTAATAAAATCAAACATGAAATAGTAAACTAAAACATATAAAATTATACAACGAAAGTATAAAATCAAGTTTTTAATACCCACGTGTCCCAAAAATTTCTTTAATACTAAATTTAAAATCCTATGAAGTGTTATAAGCAAAATAGTGAAACTATGAAGGATTTGGGTATGGCTTGTAAATCTGGTCATGCAAACATCATCCACTAATAATGACTTTGGATGATGTTTGTATGACCATAAGCGGATAACAATGAAAAAAAAAAAAAACAAGCATCTCTTATTTACTTTCTTTGTTATCATAATATTGTTCTTTTTTTTTTCATCTGATGTGAGTTATATATATATAATTAACAAATATCCTTTCTTTATTTTAAAGGATCTCAAATTGGACATTTAAAATGTGATTTTTTACTTTAATTAGGTGAATTTTATATATAACTTCATCAATTTGGTTGTAAAACTTCAACCAAACCCCTAAATAAGAAAGTAGGAACATATCTACTCCTTTAAAAAAAATGACAAATTACTCCTCTAAATTATCGATCAAGACAAATCACTCATTATTTAATATATAACGTCATTACATGTCAACTTTCTATTCAAATCAAGTTTAGATGGCATATGAATTCCTGATGTGTAATAATGTCACATGTTAAATAATGAGTGATTTATTTTAATTGCTAACTTAGAAAGAGAATTTTTCCTTACTGTTTTTTTTAGGGGTGGTATCTATTCCTGTCATCCTATTTGAGGAGTGGATTTAAAAGTCGCTATAGTACTTTACATGATTTTAAATTGAGCATCAAAGATATTTTTAGGATAAATAAGTATTAATGACTTATTTTACACTTTGATTATATGATTTATATACTTTAGTTTACTATTTCATGCTTGATTTTATTAATATTTTAATGAGTTGAACATTGACATGTAATTTTATTGGAAGTTATATAATTTTTATTATTTATTAACAAAAGAATGAAGTGCAAGAAATTAAAATTTTTGAGATTTAAGTGCATCTCTTTCAAGAGTTTGGGAACCAAATTGTAATAAAAAAAAGGTTAAAATTATGGATTAAATTGAATAAATTTGAATTTTGAGGATCGAAGTGCACAAAATTGAACTTAAGGAGTCAACTATGTCATTTTACCATTGAAATTTGTAGGATTTTAAGTGGTGAATGGATGGTGTTATGCCAGCACTCAATGGACGGATTATGGTTGACCCTTTCTTTC